CAGGCCAGGATGCCATTGGCCTTCTTGGCCATCTGGGCATACTGCCGGCTCATGCTCAGCCAGCTGTCAATCAGCACCCCCAGGTCCTTTTCCTCTGTAGAATGATCTACACAACAGAGAAGAAGATATAAGGCAAAGCCCTTTTACTTTCAAGACATCTTGAATGTGGCTTTTTCTCTTTCTTCTTTAATAAAAGGTTATCTTTCTCTCTACATGCAGTTCATGAAACAGCGATCAGCATATACTGTCCTAAATCCCCACCTGATGTGCACTACGTTATTCTGCTGGCATTTCTGGCAAAGCCCCTCAGGTCTTGTAAACCAGTCTATGAGCCCTTAATAGAAGTACAGCAATTTACGCCACTGGAAACTCTGCTCTAATGACCCTACAATGATTTATACCAGCTAAACGTCAGAACCCACTAGGGGAAATAGAGACGAACAGTCCTGAAAGGATAGCATCAAGAAAAATGTTCTTTTCCTTGGGCACGATAGCTAGAATAACTAAAACTAACACTGTTATACTGATTAAGGAGACTGTTGAAGAGCCATAGGAAAACTGAAGTACCGATCAGCTCCTCATTGTTACAAGGCAACACTGAGATGGAGAACCTGGAGAAATTAAAACTCGCACAACAAGAACTTCTCTGCAGAATTGCTACCATGAGTCCGAGAGCGCCTGTGCTCAAGGGTTGTCACAGCCACTGGTATAGACATTTTCCTCAGGGATGTTCTGTAGGTCACATCACCAGTCTACAGCTACGAAATGTTCCTCCAGCAAAACTATCAGCAGGTTGCTACTATCTGTAGCAGGTGAGAAAACCTTCCTTCCTTTTTTTTTTGTCTCTTGCTTTTTTTTTAAAATTTTTTTTTTTTTAAATCTTTCAGGCTAAATGTCAGAAACTGACATATGGCCACTCCTTCCATTTATCAGTGCCACAGCAAAGTAATATGTGAAAGCTCCGCGCAGTAATCTGCAGCTTGGGTCCTTTTTATGACAAACAAATATTTAAGGACAGGTCTCACAAGGCTTTTTTGCTTGATCTCATTTGTGTTATTTCAGTCAGCAGCTTTATATAAAATGAAAACCTCTCTAGGGAATTAAATATCAAATAACATTATGTTTTTTCCTCTGCATCCAACAGTTTACCTACTTGTCCTCAAGTCATTGAGCAAAATACTTTAAATACTTTAAATTTGATAAAAACCCTGTGTAGTGTATTTTTACAACAGTAACACAGTTTCAGTTTTTTACCCAGATATTTCACTCGACACAATTTTCTTTTAATAGCTAGGTTGTCCTTTATAACATGGGCATACTTTAAAGGAACTCATAAAAACTAAATTTTACAGGCTAAAAATTAAATACTAAGCACTGATGAGATGTGTATGTATGTTAAAGGTTTAGTATGTGTCGCAGATAAATACAGACACATAATTAGTTGATGGTACAGATTTTATAACATGTAATTAAAAAGTGGATTGCTGGAATCCTCTTTAAGATTTTATTAACAATTCATTAACTCTCTGAACTATTTAGGCATGGAACCTTAATATATTTAGTTTAGGAATATTTTCTTGGCAGCCTGATCCAATGGGAGAACAAGCAGTTAAAACAGGGTGGGTATTGTGGTTTTAAGTGTCTGAATGTTGCTTCTTTTGCTGGCTTGTGACGTGTTCCCAAAGAAATGAGCAAGAATTAAGGAGGAGTCTAGATTTCCAGATCTCTCCCTATCCTTTCTTCTAATTATGGAATTACCAAACAAACATCAAACCAGCATCTTCAATTGCTTCACCTTCCTCTAAAACAACTGTTGCCAAACAATGCTGCATGGATCACCAGATACCCACACAGTACTTTCTGGTGCTCTAAGAAGATTTAGTGAGTCACTGCCTGCCTCTGCCACCTGCTGTATTGTATTAGAAGCAGCTGAGAAAAGTGTATTACACTTTCCAATTGTTCATGTGAAGAATTGCCATTAGCGAACATACTCCGTTCAGTCAACAGTGAAAGCAAGAGAACCCTGCCCCAAGAAACTATCTTGACACACCAGTTCAAGCTATTCATGGTAAGTCAGATGAAGCAGTTTTCCTCGGTGTACAGAGGTTCTGCTGTCTGCTTCTGCCTGTCCTCCTGAACTCTGAGGATGCAGAATGAAAGAAAGTAAACACGGATTTCTGACACCAAAAACCTCAGCCCCTCCCAGTGCAGTTAAAGATGGACCCTTCTGGCTAGGACATAAGCAAACTTCTACATGGGCTGAGGGCAGCTACTAGAAACATATGTACACTAATTCAATATATTTAAAAGCATACATTTCTTTCTCCTCCCCCTCCCCCCAACCATTAAGTAATAATTAATGGGTGGACGTGGAACTAGTATACTGACCTCATCAACATTCTCAAATGCATTGATGACATCATACGGCAAGCATGAGAGCAGATCGATCACAAACCAGGTCTTCAAGTAATTCATGCGAATCAGCTTTGGGTCAGAGATCACCTCTCCTGCTGGCCCCACAAAGGTGGTATGGAAATTAAGCACAATGTCTACCAAAAAAATGACATCTACAATGCTGTCGACTACTAGCCATGCCACATTGTTCTGTTTGGTTTTAAAGGAGACATTGTAAGGGACCAAAATAGCAGTGTAGAAGGTTAAAATCAAGATGATCCAGTCCCAGGTGGTCTTGAAAACACAATAATGCAAAATTATATGTGGCGGAGTCTTTGGTGCCTCTTGTTTGTACTGCGGGAGGATTTCAGAGCCCAGCTGCAGTACCTGTAGTCACAGAGATTCAGGAGAAAAAGAAAACATGCTTAATTTTTTAACGTTATTTTTCACATTGTAGATTCTCAAGCTTAGTACAACAGTTGATAAAAATGCATGTCCATTAACTCCTTTTATCACCACCAAATGGTAAGCAAGTCAGGATAAGTATTCTGTTAAACAAATCAGCATCAACCTAAGAACAGTTGTTATTTGTTTTAATGTCATTAATTATTTTTTTACACTAAGCCTAATGTGCTGGGTCTCCAAGACGTATAGAGAAGAGACAGCTCCTTCAGCAGTCTAAATAGATGAGACAGATAAATGATGGGCAGGAAGGCAGTTGCAAATAGAAATCGATGGCAAAACCAGGAGCAATACCACAACTTCTGAGTTCCAGTCCAGCACCGGGACCACTGGACCACATTGCTTCTCAACATTGTCTATTTAACTCTTCACTATACCGTATCTGAAATAGTCTTATACTACAATCTAACATGAATGCATGGGCCTTTGTTCCTTTTCTCCACGCTGTGCAGGACCAAAGCCCATGGATAATTATCATTAGCCTCAATAAACTCATTTTGAACTTTAACTTTTCACTGAGAAAAGATCAGTGTCTTCACTATCTGATGGTGTACAGTCAAGTTGACATGCAGTTAGGTCTGAATTCAAAAAAGCACTGCAGCAAAAGATGATCTGTCAGCATGTGTTTTAAACCCTGGGCCTCAAGCTGAACACATGCTCCAAGCGTTTTGCAATCTTGATCAATGCTGCCCATTTTAAGTCTACTATCTTTCCAGTTCTGCACACTAATGCGAAAAGAGTATGATCATGTCTTTAAATATTGGGAACTAAAGTTTCTTTTACACATCTATGAACAAGAATGTGTTCGTTTACATCTATGGATATACATGAAGGACCTGTTTCCAAATAAAGACAATTTTAAAATGAAATTTACCCTGGATGAGTTATGGGTGAAAACTGAAAGGAAGATGGAGGTTTGCTCAAGTGAAATGTGTTTGCTAATGCCAAACTCATAGAACCTGTGAGAACAATTTAGGAGCGTGGTTCCTTTTTCACATTTATTTACATCATAGTTCAGAGCAATAGGGAGCAGAGAAGGAAATTAAATGGCCACCTTCTCAGGGAAAAAAATCAGACAACATAGCTATAATAGGAGGATGTCTTCCTTTCATGCTTCTTATCTTCAGCTTTTTTATCGTCAATTATTTGGACATGGATTTTTATCTGCAGGCTTTTCTGAGTGCTTTTTATTATTCTTTTTTTTTGTGAACTGGTGGGCTTTTTTCCAACAGATTAAGCCAAAGGGGACAAAAGAAAACAATCAGCTACAAGAGTCCTACTTGGACAAAACAGCCTCAGATCAAGTTCCCTCCTGCTTTGAACCTCACATAATCAGTTACTCTTGTGCACAACAGGGGTCAGACACTGTCAGATCACAGTCCCTTGCATATGGGTAAATGATAATGGGAGCTGCAAGCCTGCTGACTTTGAGCCCAGTATGTTCTCCAGAAGAGAAGTAGCATGACCTGCTCAGAGAGACCTGCATGTTAGCACAGAGGCATCAACAATTTTAAAACAATAAGAGGACTTAGTATTTTTGTTTCACTGCATTTCAAGAATGACAGCAAAGAGGAAAAAGGAACATTTTCCCCTAAGTAGAACCCTTGCAGACCAAACTAGGACTCATGTCCTAGTGCAGTATTAAGTACTCTGCCACTCCTGACCCTAATTCAAGCAGGTTCTCCATACTACAAAAAAAAAAAAAAAATTGAAAAAAGTTGCCTTGTGGTGAGAGGAGCTGGAAGCAGCACAAGAGGCTCTGGCCAGTCCCCAGAAGTCACTGGTAGTGACTGGAAGAGGCACAGGTTGTGTACTGAGTTAGTATATCTACTAAGAGCATCGTTCCCTTCAGGGCTTGTTTGCAGTCCCAGCGACAAATGTTAGGATGTCTTTCTTTTCTCAACAAAAGTTCTAGCCCAAGATCAATATTGCAAATACCTCCTGCCCTCCTTTTTGAACATCACAGCTGTACCTGAATCAGTTGGAAAGCACTGAGCTATTACAGGCTTTTATGAGGATTTGCATGAGTAGCAGCCCTAACATAAAATCCCAAGCCTGAAATATGCTTCATTGGGCAAGGAGAGTTCTCTGCAATATTCACTCACTGGAATAACTGATCAGCAAAACCAAGCACTTTCTATCACGTGGTAATATTTTTCAGCGAGTTAACTGGATTTCAGTTCTAATGGTGAGATCTTACTAGCGTGGGGAGATTGTATCACCCCTTAAATGCAGGCTGAAAACATAATTGCTTCTTTTGCAATCACATGTCTCCTAGAGCTTATTTTTTTTAGCCTCTGATATTATATGAAAAAGTCAAACATTTTGGTAATCATTGTAATCAGGACAGGAACCTCAACCATGAAACACTGAAAAAAAATTTTGTTAGTTCTTGTCAGATTGATTTTTATATATACATACATAAGTTCTAGGCTGAGAATTATATAATGCACTCCATTTTGGCCACCACTGGTCTCTTTGTACTCCAAGAACTTGTGGAAATTTTGCATCATCCAAACTGGAAAATGTACTAATGTATTCCCATATACCTGAATAATAGGAACAAAGGCAAGAACAATCTCTGTTCGACAATAAGGAAGGGGCTACATTATGGTGTCCATTATTTTGCTGTAAATCAAAAAAAAAAACCCAGTAAAGCCAGTGGAACTGCAGCGATGTAAAACTGAACTGAATGCAGAGAAAAACAGACTTCTAGTTTCAACTCCTTAAGAAAATAAACAACTTTGCTGCTTCAGTATTTTAAAATGTCATCACCAAGTACAAAGCACTCTCTCCTAGCTTGTTTGAGATTCAAAGGACTACAGCACAGGAAAATAAAAGGATTGATGTCTCAAATTTAGAAAGTAAATTTACTCTGAATTATCTGAATAGTTAGGGACCTTATTAATAAGTCTTTTGAACTTCCACTACCAGCTTGGAGTCTCTGGTTAAACTCTACCAATGGCTATTTAAAGTGACCAGGGGCCATGGCTTTAGCTGGTCTCCAGTGGAAGGATGTGCATCAGCAGTGTGGGTGTGTGGGTGTGAATCTCAAAAAGAGGGGCAGGGACAGGGCAGGAGATGGGCATCAAGGAATGATGTAGGGATATCAATCACTTGCAAGGTGGGGAAAGCCACCTACAGCGAGCCTGGAGTGCCTTCAGTCTTGTTTGGGTGGGGTGGGGGTGACAAGTTCTAGTCCTGGCTCCCCCTCACTACATCACTAATGGGCACCTTGTAAAACCACTTCATCTTGCTAGCATTGCTAGAGAGATGAACTGTCATTTCACAGCTTGAGATGGAAGAAGGGCACTGTCCCAGCTCATGCTACCTTCCCCAGGAAAGGCAACTTGTTTTACAGATTGGTCTTGCAGCCTCCGGGACTGCCAGCCAAGAGCTTTCAAAGGCACCAAATTCTTTTCATCAAAGGAAGAGAAAAATCCCTATAGCGAAGCTTAATTATATCAGAGAACAGGCATGTGCTTTTAGCATTAAGTACAACAAGAGAGCTCAGTGCTCTACAGAAATAATGGAAGGAGGTCCACAGAGCTTAGTGCTAAAGTTCTAGGTTTTGTCAGGTTGCTGCACTGGAAGTTAGGAGAGCTCTTTTCTCCACTTTTCACACCAAGGGCCACACACAGTCCACCCCTGGGTCATCTAGAGATTAAGAGCTATAAACCCCGCTCTCTCTGCACCATATAGCAAAGCCAGGCAGATGCAAAGAGAAATACCATCTGCCCTATTCCAAGGTGCTCTTGCTGCACTCCAGCCTCCAGGGAGAGTAGTGCCAACCTGAAACGCAATATTTGCTGAAGCAGTCAGGTGTGGTTACCCACCCACATGAACTAACTAGATTCAACCTGCTTGTAAAGGTACTTTTCCTGGAGAGGAAAAGAAAACTCAAGAGATGAATATAAAAGTAATCATGAAGAAAATGTACACAACTATATAAACCAATATGCTGAGCTTCCACTCGTGCACTGAACAAATATTTCATTACTATCATTTTCTAAATAACTGAAACAGCCCTTGTTTTGGAAGACTTTTCTCTATTATGCAGTTATACCATGGTAAAAGAAATATTTGTTTCAGAAAGTTATTAATGAAAGTATTATTCCAATTACTAATGATTCATCAGCCACTACAGTTGTATTATCTGCATTTATTATTTGTGGTAATGATGCATGATGTTTTAATAGCTCTCTAAAGCCGGAGAAGAAATTACCTCAGGAGCAGAAATGACAAATTTCATCATGAGTTTCACAAGGCTGTGTTCACTTTTTTTAACATAACAAAATAAAAAAAAATTTATCCTAGATTTGTTAAAAAATGGTGAATATATCGCCAGTCAGGACTCATAAAAGTGCATCAACAAGTGGTTACAATGACTTATTTACTTTTAAGACTGCATGACTGGGGGGAAAAAACCCACACAAACAATCATTCATTTTCAGCTTAATCTCTCCCTTTTGTGATTTCAACTGCACATATTTGCTTTCTCTCACTCTCCCTTGCTTTTGTTTTCACAGGCACCCACACAAATTGCTCCCAAGCCAAGAGCTAGGTGCTAAGCCTCAACTTGAAGTAGATTTTAATGGCAGTTGTAAGTCCCTGGTAAACAAGGCTTAAAAAAAAAAATGGCAGAAGTTCCATTATTAAGCAGTGCTGCTAAGCACCATTATAATTTTTCTCCTTTTATTTCTCATAGGTATCGCATTTTTTAAATTATGACACAAGCTTGTTTACCCAGAACTGGTAAATATACAGAATACATCAGCTAACACCATAGGTATTAGAGGACACATGTACTATGCAGTGACCAGGAAGAATGGTTCCTACAATCAGCTCCTTGGTGATAAAGCCACAGAAATGTATCAATTACTTTATACTCTTACTGCAAAATGTACTCTCAGAGTTACCTAACACCCTTGCATTAATTGCATAATTAATTTAAGCAGTTTTCATATGACTGCTATTGGAGAAGTCAGGCTAAACAAATCTACACATACTGGCAAAAGTCAGAGACTGAGGCTTAATAGACACTGCTTGTATTATCAAAGTAGTTTGCCACTAACATATTTCTTAAACTAATATTTCATAAACGATAAAAGAAATTGTAAGCTTTTGTGGCAGGCTCCTGTTTTGTGTTTGTACAACACCTTGCCCCACTCAGGTTCTAGGACACAACTGGCTCCTCAGATATTCAAAAATATAAGTGATAAAGGACTAAGAGCAACACAAATAATATTCCAATAAATGAAGAGCCTTCTCAAGCAAATAAGATTGATGTGAAATGCCATAGTGAGTAGGAAAAGAAAAAGGACGAATTTTAATTTGAACTTAAGATTTCAAATAGGCTACTGCAGAGATTAAAAAAAAAAAAAAAAGATTTGAAAATACAACAGGGAACAGTTAGAGATCCCACGTTCAACATTACTGAGAGATCTTTCCAGAATAAGAAGCCTGGCACCCCACATGTCTTCAAAGGAAGAAAAGTGGGCTTGTCTGTATGATTATCTGAACTCTGCTTTTCTCTAGTGTAGTTCTACTGACTCAAATGGAATTACGACAGATACACAACAAGGTACCTAACATCGCAGTTGGGGCTAATGTTCTTTTTAAAATAATGACTGTAATATTCAGTCGGCAATTAAAGAAACTCATTTCAGACATGTAAACTATACACTTGCCCTTTATTATTTGTAATGAATCAACTGGCTGTGCCAGTTAAAATACTTGCAAAGACTTGTTGAGCACATCGGTTTGCAAGAAGTTTCAGTAATGTGTAGTCACTTAGGTCCAGTCTGAGGTTCACTGAGCCAAACAGAATAACCTCAGATCCTTTGCCTTACATTATACTGCCTACATTTTAGCATGAACTAAAATTCAGGGGTAGGCATCTAAAGGGAAGGAATGATTATTTGATGCTAAGCCTTAAGTAGGATTAGGAGGGAGACTATTCCAAATTCCCGGACACTAAAGCCACCTCAGGGTGGACATGTGGTAATCACATGGTATTCCTACAGTATAGTGTCCATGTGAATGTCTGCCCCTCCCCTGTGCTAGTATGATCTATGTTATTTCTGTACTTCCAACAGAAATCAGTTTTCCATTCTTGCGTGCATCTGTATTAAATACTGAATAGGTAAGCTCCTGTACATGGGAATTTCACCATCACATGTGATAATAGTACAGGCCTGGGCAGGAGTTGTTTATTTTGCATAGAAACCAAGACGTATGCAGGGCAAAATTAACAAAGTACTGACTATATGAAGACCCCATGGAGTCCATCAATGGCTTACACCTCCAGCTACACAGGAAGATTAAGAATTATTGACAAGAGTCACAGCTGCTGCCATGGCATTCACAGCAATAGCTGATACAGAAGTGCCATGTTATATTGGCTATGCCATGCTGTCATTAACACCATATCAAGACCTCCCCTAAGCTGTTTTTACACCAGGAGACCCTGCTACTCGCCCAGGAGACAGCTACAGGAAACCTGGGACAGTCTCTCCCCCTCGTGGCGAAAGCCCTAAAACCCTAAGGACTTCAAGGAGCCGCCTCTGCCTGGAGCTTTGCTCAAATCTTTGAGAGTCCACTTAAATCACAAGGTTTCATTTTCCTAATCTGTCTGCAGTGTTGCTTGTGGCATCTTACAGCTGTTCTGTCCATAAACCCAGTAACTGAAACATATGTTTTAACCAGTTTGTAAAGCAGGATTGGGATCCCACTGAAAAAGAACTAGACATAAATGAATGCAGAGAACAACCATGTCAAGTATTCTCCAGAACTTCCTTCTGTACTAGCCCAAGTTTTTCTCACCTCAATTGTACACAAGTGAATAGTCCAAGATCCTACTAACACTGAGATCCTCAGAAGAACAGAATCTAAGCAAGAAAGTATTATTTTAATAATAATGCCATTATAAGACTTTGCTGAGATATGGAACACAACACTGCAATTAGGTTACATGAAGTCTTTTGGACACCTGTTTCCATTCCGCTGTCACAGGACACATTTCACAGCACATGTGCCATATTCTGAGCTCCCATGCCTGCCACCAGGCTTCAGATTCCCAGGGCAAGGGGGACAGACAGTGCTTCGCTCATGCAGCGACAACATACCCACAAAGGCTAAAAACACTTATTTACAGTTTCTCAGGGAAAGAAAATGTTACCTCAGCAAGTCGCGAATGCTTGTGAACGTTCTCTCCTTTCTGCACGCTTGGAGCAAGCTGCTGCAGCACGCCTCGGCTGCTTGTGAGGGCACGGGTCAAGCGAGCAAACTTTCCCCAACCTTGAGAAAATATGCAGGATTATACACATTACCAAAAAAAGCTGCAAGTGTACCACATAAAGCCTCCCATAACTTTAAAAAAAAAAAAGTTAAAACAGAGAAATCTGCTTTAATACTGACCACAAGGGAGTATAATTTAACCAAGTACCAGATAAAAGCAAGTCACAAAATAGATATCAGAGTAGTAAAGTAATAAAAACCATGACTGCAGTGACTTTGTATTCAGTGGCTTTACAAGAGTGCTGTGACATGAACTTCATCTTTTGTAAGGATAAATGTCACTTTATAATAATCTTCTGTAAAATCCAATGGGTAGATTTGGATCTCACAGCACTGCAGAAGACACTCCAGACTAATGAAGATGTAAGACTAGTATCACGCACAACGAAAATTACAGTTGCCTGTAACAGAAGTGAATTTGGCCTCAGATGTATTAAGCATAGTTCTGGCATAAGCAGAGAAACATACATAAGATAATAAAAAGCAGAGCAGACAAAGCAAAACAAAATCATTAATTTTATCCTCTCTAAACAAAAGGGGGAAATATACAAATAGATTTTCTTGAACTCTAATAAAACATTTAGCAACTTCTGGCAGAGAAGCCATATGCTGAATTTTAATTCAGAATATTTTTTACAGTCATTTCAAATACCCCTAAAAATAGAAGGCCTTGAATGACAGTCACAAGAGCTAGTTACAACTATAATCTTTATGAGCAGTACTTTGCCATAACAGAAAGTCAGGCAGAGTATACATCTGGATATTTTTGGTACTCTGAAAGGAAAGTATCAGTGCATCTAGTCCCAATCTTGAAAAATGCTAGCACCACTTGGGAACTGTTGAGCAGTCTCACCTCCTACTCCAACTGAGGACACTCAGCACTTTGCAGATTCAGTTCTTAATGAGAACCTGGTTCTGGAAAAGGTTCCCTCCACATTATGGTTTCATCACCAAAAGAAATGGTACTATAAGCAGTGGCTGTTTTTAAAGACCAGTCTGGAGTTTAGCCTGCAAGTGATCCGTGACAAGTACAGGAACATGGGTGGTTAAAATACTGTCCAGTACTTTGAACATATCCTTGCTTGACATCTTACTTTGATGGAGTTTGCAGGAACATATTTGGTAATTTGGGAGGTAAGCACAAAAAATAAACAAATTGCATGGATCCATTATTGAACAAGATTTTCCAGGGCAGATCTGAAAAGACAGTTTAGCATTTTCTTTTTTAAGAATATGCAAAATAATGCATTTATTAAAGGGGAGATCCAAATTCGTCATACCTCTCCAATATCAAGAATAAAATGGAAGATTTTTTTTATGCCTTAAAGCACATTTTAAAGCAAGTCTGTCACCGGTAATTTAACAACCAAGTTGAGTAGAATTAGCCAACACTTTTGGGCAGTATTCAGCAACAAGTAGATTGAATGATTTCCATCCAGGAAGCGAGAACTTTCCTGATAAACCCATGTAAGATTAGCTACTATACTACAGGACTATTTCTCAGAGAAATAAATCAACATGACAGAGCCACAAGTGAGGTCAGTTTATATTTGTTATAAACCTGACCCAAAGCACTTGATTTCTCACAACACGTTTCCATGGAAGGTGGTGGGGTTTGGTGGTTTGGTTTGGTTTTTTTTTTTAAAAGATACATTTATAAATGAGTATTCTTTCTGTACTGTACATGAAGAAATCCAACTACAGTTCATAGGCTAAGGCTCGAAGGCCTTACTACCTTCTGACTAAAGCCAGTAGAGGTTAAAAGAATGGATCGGGTGGGAGAAACCACTCATAACGGCTAATCTGCAGCTGATATAAATCAGACTAGCCTTTGTAAAGCCGACACAGCTACAGCAATTTACACCAACCTAAAACTTTGCTTTCGCAGAACTTACATGCCAGCACTACTATGTTTTCTTCCTGTTTTACAGGACCATGGGAGAAGGCTATCAGCATCGGCATATTTTCAGTGCTGTAAATGCGGACCGACGAGGCCCGCGGGGGATTTGTTGCGGGAGGATATAAAGAGGAGCCCCGTTTCCCGGGCGCGGGAGCCGGGCGCGGCGGGAGCGGCGGCCCCGGTGCTGGCCATGGTGCTGC